CTTTTTGAGGGAACCAGCAGTTAGCGTAATGGCTATGTCACTGGACTCCCATGTAGTCGACCGCGGTTCGCGTCCCGGACTGGTGGCTTAAAACCCACGCCGGGCGCGTGCATGCCCAAGATCCCGAGAGGAGAATGGAGGAGAAGGGATTGTGGCGTGGCCATCCCTCTGGGGGGTGATTTCTCGCTTTCTGTCTCTCTGTCTCTCTCTGTCTGTCTGGCGAGCGCACGTGCCCTATAGTGAAAAACCTCTAAAAAAATAAATTCCTTTTTTAATCTAAAAATTTTTTCGAGTACTTTTGTATTTCTTCCTAGAAATACTCTTTTTTTCTAATACTTTTATAGCTTTAGAGTTTATGTTTGTTTTTGGAATTGTTGTGAACATATCATGTAAGACAGGATAATGACTTTACAATTTTCTCAACTAGCTCAAAGCCAACTGGCTCAGTGCCAATTACAGACTATTCCTATCTTTCCCACTGATTTGAAATACTAGCTTTATCATATATTAAATACCTTTGTACACACACATCTACTACTGAATCCTATTCTTCTCCTATGACCTATGTTTATATTTCAGTTCTGTTGGAATTAACTTTTAAATTAATATAGCTTTATATTATGTTTTGATGTTGGTAGGACATATCAACCACCACTACCACAACTGTGACACACAATAATTTTTTTTTTTTAAATTTTTGCTATTGGGTGTTTGCACTCACTGGAGAAAGATCAGAGGGTGGGGCGAGTGAGACATCACCCCCTTGGAGGGTGACCATGCTGCAATCCCTTCTCCTCCATTCTCCTCTCAGAATTTCAGGCACACACTTATATAGGGCTGGCATGTTTCTCAATTGGCAGGATCTGGGACTCGAACTGTGGAGCTGACCATGTAGGTTCCAGCACCTTAACTACCATACCACTTGGCCACCCACAACAATTTTAAAGCTATTTGAAGTGGGTTTTTTTCCTCCTACACTAATTTTATAAATGTGTTAAACTTAATCTTAAAAATCTACTACTTTAAACGGGCTTATAGTGAATGTATGAAGTACTCTGAGGATAACTGTTATTTTAATATTAAGGCTTCCCATTCAGAACACAGAAAAGGTTCTTCTCTCATTCAGCTCTTCATTTATATTTGTATGTAGATATTTGTGGTTTTCTTCATCAGGATTTGTATACTGCATGTTAGGTTTATTCCTAGATACTTTTTGTTGTGGTATATTTTCCTGTTATATCTTATGATTGGCTCTTGTTATTCTACAGGAAAGCTAGTGATTGTAATACATTTGTCCTAAATTGAGATGCTTTAATAAATTCTTTATTAGTCTAAAAATGCTGAGTTGATTCTTTAGAATTGTCTACTTGGAGATACATTATCAGCTGCAAACAATTTCATTTTTGGGGACTAGATTGTGACACAGCAGTAAAACACAAGACTCTGGGGAACCAGCAGTTAGCGTAATGGCTGTGTTGCTGGACTCCCACGTAGTAGACTGCGGTTCGCATCCTGGACCCGGCGGCTTAAAACTCACTCCGGGCACGTGTGCATGTGTGCCCAAGATCCCGAGAGGAGAATGGAGGAGAAGGGATTGCAGCGCAACCATCCCCTCTGGGGGGTGATTTCTCGCTTTCTGTCTCTATGTCTCTCTCTGTCTGGCAAGCACACGCACCCTATAGCGAAAACCTCTCAAAACAAACAAACAAAACAAAACAAAAAAACACAAGACTCTGTAAGGTTGACCAACATGGAAAGGTTTCGAGTTCAAATCTGAACACCTCCTTCAGTACATTGGGCATATGCATTCCCAAGACTGCACTGGCTGAGGTAGGGGTGGATTGTTATATCAAGATATTATTGGGGTGCCTCTCTCTTTCATTCATGGAAGAAATAAAGAAAAAAAGAAACATTAAAAATGACATTTTCACAAGTCCCTTCTGCTAGCCATACTTTCTATTTGTTCTCCTTATCTAATTCCATTGCCTAGAGTCATCAGCACAGCGTGGAACTGACTCCGTATGACCAACTTTAACACTTGTTACTAATATTAAAGGGCACAATTCTAAAATTTTACTGTTAATGTTTGCTTTAAATTTCTGGAAGGAAAGTCTTCATTAAGCTAAGGAGTTTCCTTTTTACTCTAGCTTAGTAAGACTTATTACAAATGAGCTTCGTAATTTAATAAACGTCTTTCCAGTTTGTTAAAATGAATTATAATTGAATTCCTTAAATAAAAAGCTCTTTTGGTCATGTAAAATTTTAATGACCATATGCTCTATTTCATAAAGATAATATTACTATATCAGAGAGACCTCAGATACCGTTAGAGTTGGTATAAGCTAAAAATGTAAAACGTAGGACTCTTTATGGAGCACATCAAAACAAATCACATATTTATGCTACTGATCATTGAACATGGATCCCTCACCTTGAAATCATCAGGAATGAGGAGTTTTGATGTTCGAAGAAAATTCAAGATATATCTGAACATCTGTCCGTCTCTGTCAATGAAATAGTGCTGTTTGAGACTGTCCAAAACAATGGGCTCTGTACCATCAAAAAGTCTTCCGATTCTGTGATAGAGAAAAGGGAACAGTGAAGACAATTAGATCAGTTGTTCAGCCACTAAGACTAAGAGCTACAGTTTTCGTTACTGTCAAAGGTAGCACTTTTGAAAATCGTAGTAAGGAAAAGCACTTGTGAAGTAGGAGTTACGGTTCTCTGAGAAGTGCTGGTCCCTGCTTGATAAATACCTCAGGACCAGACAACTCAAAATAGTTTTAGGTTTTCTCCAGGAAATTCTTTTATTCACTGTCTTTCACCTGTAAAGAAAATGTTCCTGACGCAGTGATTCTGGCTAAGTGCGGTCACTGTAATGGAAGATCATGTCTTTCCCCCTGTGTTACTAAAAACAACCTCTACTACTTAAAAAGTATTATTGCTCCCAAGTGTCTTTTAAACAGATTCTACTAAAAAAAAAAGATTTTGTTTTTTTAAGAAATCTGTGCTCTGAATTCTCCTCACCCATAAATTTCAACCTTTCTAAAAATAAAACAATGCCTATATGCTGAATCTATGTTTAATTATACAAACAATGAATAATGTAAACTATTCAGAAGAAATATAGCTTTCATTAACATTATAAAGTCCAGTGTCTTAGCTCTCAGCAAAAATCATTTTATTTTAGGTTTCGGCTAAATAAATAAATAAGTAAATAAATAAATATTTGACCACCCAAAAAAGTGACCTAGTTCTAGAACATAAGCATCTATGTGTAATTGTTTAAAAATAGGGAAACATATTTTTTTTCCATCTGCAGAGCTTACAGTGTGCTATGGTAAAGCATTTTGCATCCATCACTAGATAACCCATTAACGAAGGCTGAACCTATACACTTCAGTGTATATTCAGCTAATAGAAAGTGGTCACATCCATACTATGAACAAGCAGAGCGCTGGCTAATGATGCATAAACATTCTATATCAGAAAACAGGATCTACACACCAGAAGTAATTTCCTTTACCAAAAGATGCATTTACTTTTCATTAGCAGTGTAGGCAAGCCAATGACTTCATTTTTTAATGAAAAGCTTTTGCTGATCTCAGAACAAGCCCATCTCTGATTTGGAACATCATTTGATTGCTTTAAAGATTTTGAAGACATTTTTTTTTTTTTGAGAGGTTTTTGCTATAGGGCGTGTACACTCGCCAGAAAGACAGAGAGAGACAGAAAGACAGAAAGCGAGAAGTCACTCCTCAGGAAGGTTGGCCATGTTGCAGTCCCTTCTTCTCCATTCTCCTCTTGGGATCTTGGGCACGCATGCACATACACCTGGCGTGAGTTTAAGCCACCAGATCCGGGACTTGACCTGCGGGTGACTACATGGGAGTCCAGTGACATAGCCATTATGCCAACTGCTGGTCCCAAAGACATGTATTTTCTAACCTTATGTTGAAATGGTTCAAACATACCATACATCACTAATTCTACCCCTCTTAAAATATAATGAGCAAGTAAGAAGGAAAGGTACTTCTCTTCCCCCAAAACAGAGTAGCATGTGAATTTTTGTTCTAGTAAAAATCTTTTAAAGATAATTTAAAGGTTGGGACATATAGCACAGTGGTTAAAGGAGCTGGATACCACATGGTAAATGGTAGTTCAAACCCTGGACCTTGAAAAACATAGCATGGCTTGAAAAACATGCAGGGTGCATGTGTGCATGTCCCAAATCCTGACAGGATGGAGAAATGGAGGAGAAATAATTGCAGTGTGACCATGTCCCTTTGGGGGATATGGCGGTGCTTTCTCCCTCTATTGTGAGTACAAGTGCCCTCTGGCAACTAAATTTAAAAAAAGGAAAATTTAAAAACTCATGTCCTAGCTAAAGGTAGTAAGGGGCAAAGAAGAAAGCAACCAATTATGGTAGAATTACACAAATTTCTAAAACCCAATGCATTCTTCTGAGCTAGTGTTTTTGTCCACTTTACATGAATCCCATGCTTATCCGAAGTGTGGGTTACAACCATCCTGGGATTCTTCCACTGCCTACTACCTGGCCATTCATTTCTCACTGACACATTCATCAACAGTAAGTTTGGAACTAAAACACACTCAGTCACTTATCTGTAGTGTTTCCAAGACAGTTTTATGCAGGATAGGACAGAATGAGACTACCTTGCCTACTATCAAAACATTTTAATCTTCACCATTAATCACGTGATAAGTTTACAATTGACGGAGAAAGAAAAGGGAACTATAATAATTGCTTTCCACATGCCTTGCACTATCCTCAGTAATTTATATATGTAACAAACCCTTTATCCTCATTTTAAAGATGAAGAAATAGGCTCAAAAAGATGAGTAACTTGTCTAACTAGTTAAGCAGCATTGGCAGATTTGTGTACACACTGTCTGATCCTCATAGGCCTCCTTACAATAAAATGGAATGAAAAGAATTACCGCTATCAAACGAAAGCTTTAGGTCTAGGGTTTTTATTTCTATCACAGATTTGTTGACCAAAAACTTTACAGAGAAATCCAAGCACCTATGCTATTCTATAGATTGCCAATTAGTATCACTGAGCTCAAGTCACTTTAGTACAATAGATCTCAAGTCACTTTAGTAAACAGGTAAAGAGATGAAAAGTATTCTATTCTTAAATCCTATGCTTTCTATTAGATAAATGCATATTTTCAAGTCTAGACCTGGAAGTACATTAGCAAAGAATGAGTAATTAACCCATCTATACTGAGTGAATGAGTACAGGAGTTAGGAAGGAGTATGAAACGGGAATGAGGCTTAACCAGTTACTAGCTCTAATCTGAGTGAATTAACTGCTGTGTCTCTATTTTTCTATGAAACTCAATCTCATTCTGTTTCACAGAATAACCTTAACTTTTCCTCAGAGTTGATGAAGAAATCCAATGTGGTCATGTTGAACTCAAAAAGTACACAACAATAGGAGATGCCCCCAGTAAGTCAACAACGATTTCTATGAAAACAGCTCTTGGAAAAAGGCATGTAATAAGAATAGGATTTAAGGAGGAAAATGCACAATCTTGGCAGAAGTGTATGTTACAGATGTATTGAAAATAGGACACAAGTGTCTTTTTAAAAATTATTTTGATAACAGATTTTTGCTATAGGCCACGTGCACTCGCCAGAGAGACAGAAAGTGAGAAATCACACACACACACACACACACCCGCCGGGAAATAGCCACACCACAATCCCTTCTCCATTCTCCTCTCAGGATTTTGGGCATGCACGTACACACCTGAGATTTAAGCCACCAGATCCAGAACTTGAACTGCAGTCAACTACGTGAGAGTCCAGCAACATAAACATTATGTCATCTGCTGGTCCCAGACACAGTGTCATTTGAATAGTTTTTAGGATACCAAAAAAATCCCCCAACAAAAACACGACTTGCCACAGATACAGAAAATTGGGTATGGACACAATCGAGTGTGTGACTTTCCACTTGGGTCAAATGAGGAAAAGATAGAAAGGAAGGAGCAGGAGGGAAATCTGAACGCAGGATGGGCACTAGAAAAGCTGGCCAGGGTGTGGGGCTGGGGGCAGTTGCGGCCATATGTGAGCCACTGGGGAGAACAGCAATCCCAGGCAGAATCATTCACAATGAATGGAGGTGAGAAGTTGAGGAAGGGTGAAAGTCTACAGGGTGGAAGAGAACACCCTAGTGTGGGGCCCCGGCAAGCCATCAGGGGTACAAATACCAGCAAGGAAAATCAGCTTCCCTTGCTCAATGATAGCACTCCCACCCCACGCCTGCCAGTGGGAGGCTAAATGTGCCTGGAAGCTTTGCAAGGCCCTCTGGCCAGGCCTGGTGGGTGGAAGCGTGCCTGGGGACCAAAGCAGGGAATGCGGGGAAGGGCGCAGGCCCCAGGGCAACAGCTCAGGGCAGAAAAGGCTGTGTGGTCTTTTTGGGAGCTGAGAAGCCAAGGACTGTAGACTGAAAGGAAGCAGAACTAGAAAGGAAGGGCAGCTGGGTCACCAACACACATGCCTGACTGAGGTGAAAGACCTCTCAGAGAAGAGAAAGTTCCCCATTTGAAGCAACAAATGCTAGGAGTAATAAAAGGACCCCAGTGCTGTTGGTATCTGCCAACTTGAACAGGAATAACGTTTGAGCTGTGAAAACAACGGAGAGGGGATTGCAGTGCCAGTGATCGTAAAATGGCGTCCCTGGATAGTTCCTGAGATTGGGCTGACTCTGCTTGGAAAAGTATTGTTTGGCTAAGCAAATAAAGGGTAAAATCGACACGGGCTGTATTTTTTGTGGACACATGAATGGAGTTACAAATCAAACTGCAGTGATTTGTAAACTCTGGTGCCTGAAAACTATGTGGAACTGATTATAGTTTACTAACCTTGGAGAACATTCCTGTTTTCCAACTGACCAAGACCAAGCTGGCTCCAGACAATGTATGGCTGGGGTTTTTGTTGTTGTTGTTTTTTAACACTCATTGAACCAAGTGGCAATGCTGAGAAAGACTTCCTTCTGCAATTTTGTTGTTTTTAAGGATAATCATTAATATTTTAACGAATATCTCTTGTTTTTGTTTAAATAGTTGATTTAAACAGACAATTTAAGGAATTCACCAACTCCAGATCAGCTCTTCAAGAAATTCTGAAAGGAGTGCTACACCAAGAAAACTAAAAAACAAACAAACAAACAAAAGCACAAAAAACAACCAAGAAAATGGCCAACTTAGTGGTAGGGACAAGTCCGGAAATACGAATAATAAGGTTGAATGTTAAAGGTTTAAATTCTCCAGTCAAGAGACACAGACCAGCTGAATGGATAGAAAAACAGAAACTCTCCATCTGTTGCCTACACGAAGCTCGCCTCATGGATAAAGACATACATAGACTAAAAGTGAAGGGCTGGAAGAAGATACTCCATGCAAACAGAAAACCAAAACAGAGCAGAAGTCGTGATACTGATCTCAGACAAAATAGGCTTTAAGACAAAAAACTATATGGAGAGACAAAGAAGGGCATTGTATAATAGTAAAAGGGCTAATTCATCAAGAATTAGGTGGGACC